TCAGTTAAGAAAAAATATTGGAAAATTTTACTGGGGAAATCTCACAAGTGTTACACATTTAAGAAAAACCACAAGAAAATAGAAAAGCATGAAAGACGGGCCCAGCGTGATGGCGCAGTGGTTAAGGTCCTCGCCTTGCTCGCCCAGGATCCCATATGGGTGCCGGTTCTAATCCCAGCAGCCCGGCTTTCCATCCAGCTCCCTTCCTGTGGCCCGGGAAAGCAGTCGAGGACGGCCCAAAGCTTTGGGACCCTGCACCCGCGTGGGAGACCCGGAAGAGGCTCCTGGCTTCGGATCGGCATAGCATCGGCTGTTGCGCTCACTTGGGGAGTGAATCATCGGATGGAAGATCTTCCTCTCTGTCTCCCCTTTCTGTATATCCGCCTTTCCAATAATAAATAAATAAATAAATAAATCTTTAAAAAACAAAAACAAACACAAAAAAGAAAAGTATGAAAGGGCTGTATGTTGCAATAAGATAAAGAAACATTGAAATACTTACCTTATAAATAAAAAACTTAAGTTATTGTTATTATTACTGTTATTTTAAATGTAGGAGACAGAGATAGGCAGACACACAAGAGAATACTTATCTATCAATTCATTCCTCAAGTGCCCACAGTGCCAGGGCAGGGCCAGCCACAGCTGGGAGCCAGGCACTCAATCTGAGTCTCCCATGTGGGCGTGACTCTGAGCCACCACCTGCCACCTGCTGGAGTCAATCCAAAACTTGACTAGAGACACTCCAATATGCAACACGTGCCTCCCAGGCAGCACCTTAACCACCAGGCTACACAGCTGCCTGCTAATTCTGATTTTTTTTTTTTTTAATTTGAGAGCGGCAGACACAGAATAGAATCTTTTTACTCAAATGTCCACGGAACGGTTAGCGATACTGAACATATGCTAAACTAAGCCGAAAGAAGGAGGAGGTGGAGGGGGGGGGGGAAGAAAAAAAAATAAACAAAGCAGAAAAAAGAAAACTGAATAGGCTATTTTCTCTGACTACAAATGTGATTTCACACGAATAATAAAAATTTCAGCAAAAAGCTAATTCTGGAGGTTAAACAGCATGTCTAAATAAAAGCACATTAGAAAGAAAATTAAAAACGCAACCGCTGAACGGAACGTGACATATCATGACTGAGGGGCAGTAACTTCTCTCAGATGCTTGCTCATTCTTTTTAAAGAGCAGAGTGAAGTTAAAGGCAGAAAAAGAAATTGGTAAAACATTCATTCAAAATCCAAAGGCAGCCATAAAATAAAGCTCCGGGAAAGGAGAAAGCAGACACAGAATGGGGATGCAAATCCCAGAGCTAATTCTTTAGAGGAAAAACAAATAAATAAAACAGATGAACCTCGGCACAACCAAGGGGGAACAAAGGAGACAGCATAAATACACAAAATTAGAAGCCAAGGGGAGGATTCGGCAGCAGACACAGAGCCGGCAGCAACAGAGGCCCAGATGAGGAGCCCGGAGCTGGTGCGTCCCATCTGCGTACCTTCACAGCTGCTTCTGTGCTCTCGGCCTCAAGGATCTTACATCACAGCCCCGCACAACTGCAGGGGGAGCCTAGCCCCGTTGGTGGGGAGTCTCCAAGAGGCTGTGATGTTGGCCTTTTGTAACAGCAGTCTGATTCCAAAGACAAATCACTTACGAAGGAGGAAGCTTCCTTGTTGGACGAGGATCAGAGGGTGGCACTGGCAAAGAGTGCATGGACACGCCATCACTTGGTGAGCAGGAAGCAAGAGAGATGGGGAGTGTACCAGCCGCCCTGTGAGGTCTCTCCATGATGTTACCACAAGGGTTGCACCCTAATGACTTAACCCTAAAATACATCCCAAGGCCTTGGCTCCGGATACCACACTGTAATGCATTCACCATCAACATGAGTCTTAGAAGACCTTGTTGTTAACATACAGGTCTTTAAGGAGCATCCAAACTAACATCCAAATCATAGCAGAGGACCCGTGACTCACCCCTTAGCATACGTTACTCAAAGCATCCCTGCAACAAGCAGCCACATTGAGTAGTACTTAGAGCCAAGCCAGCATTGTGAGTGTCTCGATCCTGAATCTCAAAAAGACTTCAATCTACAAAACCTGATGAGGGCTTGGATTTTGCAAATATTCCCTCCTAACTATTATTCCATCAATTTCACAGCCCTTCTGAGCAACAGACAGAGAGGACTGCCTTCGGTCTGAAGAGAAGCATGACACCTGCTAAGAAGACGGTAGCCCAGAGAGGTCAGGTAGTCTGCCCGGTGTCACAAAGGATCCACGCAAGGCCAGCCACCAGCTGTGGACGCCTAGGCACGGAGGTGGTATCTTTGGGAAGGTCTGTCCCAAAGACCCTTGCCATTACCAATATCTATGAGGTTCAAGTCCCTGTATAAAATAGCATCACATTCACATAGAACCACACACATCCTCACATTTACTTTCCATCATTTTACAGCTACCTAGTACCATGCAAATGCTAGGTCATGATAAGAAAAATAAGTCTGTACATGTTCAGACACAATTTTTCTTGAATGTTTCCAACCTACAGTTAGTTGAATTTGCATATGTAGAGTTTACCTGCCATAGAAGCAGACTGTATACACTTAGGCTCTTAGCATCATGGCCCAGAGCCCCAGCACAGTCATGTCTGAGCCGTGTGTCCTTAAAGCATTGCTTTGCTGCTGAATTCCTTGGGAAGGATGCTCTGCCTAGAATTGTTGGGTGAATTAATGATGATCTAAGTCTAAATGCACTCATATTTTGGACTCACTCCTGAAGCACCAACAAACCATGGAGGCAGAAAGGAGAAGAGATGCAGGAGAGCTAGGTTGGATGGCGTGGAGGGCAGCAGAGTGAGGGGGGAGACAGCCATGAGGCAGTATCCTGAAATGAGGAAGTCCCAGAAATCCTGAGAGGGACGGGGGCAAGCCAGTGCAGGGAGGGAAAACAGGAGGAGGCTACAGGCTGGGGCCCGGGTCTTTAACATGAAGCCAGTGTGATGGCTACCCCAAAGCGGGAAGGGACGAGTCCTGCCTCAGCTGGCCCTGGCTCAGGGGCCAGGCAGAAATGGCCCCACAACAGCCACAAACCTCATAGGTTGGGGCCTTGGTCTCCAGCAGGAAACCATGGTGGGGAGGGACAAGTCCTGCCTTGGCAGGTCCTGGCTCAAGGACCTGGCAGAAACGGCTCCATTGGCAGCCACAATGCCAGCAAAGGGATGCTGCTCAGCCATGGTGATGCCTCAGGCCTACGGGACCAAGCTTAAGTCTTACCGTAGAAAAATAGGCCATTGTTTTCTTTCTTTTTGCACATCTGATCGGTGCTGTGGAATGCTCAGCCCAGGGCTTGGCATCTAAGAGTCAGTAAGTGGTAGCTGTCGTTAGTATAATTATCATTATTACGCTCTCTGCTGGCACCCTTGTACCCCCTGTGGATCAGGCCTTCCTTCTCTCTCTAACCTCTTCAGCTTGTCTTAAAGGAGAAAAGACGCCCGATCCGCGTGGGAATGAAGGCAGGCCCTTGCACAGACAAAGCATCCATATGTTAAGAAAAAAAAGCTATCCAAAACTCAGGTAGAGGGGAGAGAGTGGGAAGGAAGTTGACAGTGTGTGATCTTTCAGTGTCATCCGATCGCATTTGCTAATTAGGCATCTCCTTCCTCACAGTAATATTACTTTGTTTAGCTTATTATTCACACTTGAGTCGCATCCAGATGGCCCCCTAGACTGCACAGAGAGATGTTAACTTTTAGAAAGCGGAAGTGAAATCACTCAGCTCTTCCTGATAGATATGAAACCTCCAGGGGCTGGAATGCTATTGGCCTGCTCAGCCACTAGTTTTCTATTTCCTTTTGCAAAGTTAGTTTAGCATTCCTTTTTCTCACAAACGCAAGTTTCTCAACTCTCTGTGGAACTGCCACGCATCCCGCCAGCTGCTTCATTAGTGAGCTAAGGCAAACGTGGACAAATGCTCACTGTGTGACTTGTGCTTTATTGAACATGCTTTTTTTCTGGGCGCAGGTGGGGAGGATGCTCCGAGCTCCTATCCTCTTCCCATCTCTAATCAGGTTGTCATTGATTTGTTGCTTGGGCTAGTTCTTGCTCCAAGCTTATCTCCACCTCCCATTATCCACCCTAAGCTAAACTCCACCAGGACCTGACTATCTTACAGTTTGATGTAGCTCGTGGGAAGTATTGGGCGCCCAGGAGACACTCTTCAGAGATGAGGATTAAAAGTCAAGAGAGAGGAGTTGCAGGGTGCACAATGGAGAAGAGGTGTGGTCCAGTGATGCATTCTCTTGCTTACTAACCCAAGTTGCGTGTTTATTTTACTGGGACCTGAACACACCCCGAAGGAGAGCATTCAGAAGTGGCACACTGCACCTTAGAGAAAGAATGGGTGTCCCCCCATCTGCCACTTCGCACAGGCATAGGCCCTGGTCGGACCCTACCCATTCGGACTCCTTCCCTTGGGTAACTAGGAAACCGTTACCAAGGGGGTTTACTCTGCCTCGCTGCTGATAATATTGCATGATAACCTTTTTTTTCCCTAGAAGGGAACAAAGCAAAAACTTCAGAACAAAGAAGGCTTAGCAGCTACCCATGACTGCTACCACCCAGGGCCTCTGGAGCCAGACCCAGTAAGGCCTTGGTTGAGATGCTTCCTTATCCCGCGCTGAATCTGAACCTAGCAGTGGATTGCTCAGCTCTTTTGGGTAAGCCATGCGAGTCATAGGATGGTACAAAGTGGGACACATGCAATGAGACAGGAGAGTGGGAAGGACTCCACAGTAGAAAACCGTGTGGTGTTTTCGAAGGATGTTGACCGGCTGCTTTCAATCATTGCCTTCAAGCTCCAGATTTTTATAGTACTGGCATCGAACTGCCTTTCTTAAAGCATTTCTTTTTAAGAAAAGTATAAAGACCCAATTGACATATCTGTGGGGGCTAGTCCAATCTATTTTGGGTTTGTAGCGTCCACAGCAGAACGCTTCTTACCAGCCATCGACTCCAGCTTTCTGCAGCTCAGAAATGCCAAAGGACAAAGATCCCATGAAGTCATTCCTGCTCGTCAGGTCCCAGTCCCAGATCTCAACCGACAGTCTTCGGTCCTTGTCCGATTCTTTCAGCTGGCTGCAAGGAACAAAGAAAGAGCAGAGTTCATGGATGTTGTGGAGTTTCCTTAAGCAGATGAAATGTACAAGAGGGGGAAATCTGAAGATGGGAATTTTTACAAATTACAAATTGCTGCAGGAAACATAGCCTGCTTCCATCCCCAGGCCAGCTGCCCAGGGAGGGAGAGCTTGGGTTGACAGCCGGTGGCTTTGACATGCGGAGGACCTGGGCCAGCTCTGACAGCTGTAACTGTGCGTGTCAGCTGTCTCGTGAACAGGGTGCGTGTTGTGCAGTCAATCTTATTGACAACCACTGTAAGAAATACAGACAGCAGCTGCATAACGGGATGTGTCCATATGTATATGGGAGTGGGGATGAAGTCGAGAAAATCCATGGGGATTATGTATCGTGTTCTCTCTGGGGAAATAGTTCTGAGGTATGTTCTTGATGGAAGCTGAGAAGTCCCCAAGTATGCTCTGAGAGGGGGAGGAGGACATGGAGCAACTGCCAGAATGATGCTTCCAACCTGTGGGACTCAGTAGGGCATATTCTTCATGACCTAGAAGCTCCAAAGGTCAAATAGGAATGAAATCAGTCACGGAGTTCACACACTTAGCTCAGGGTTATCACATATTGTATATGCTCAATAAATACTGCCTGTTCCTACTGGCCTAAGGGGATTCCCAGGTTCTTGGATCTCTGATCAGGGAAGACCCTCAAGGGAAGCTGTCAGGGTCTTTCCCAGCAGGCTACAGGCAGAGCATCATCCATAAACCCTACGGGGTTCTGTCTGCGGTTGGCGAAGACCTGTAGCTTCTCTCATAACTTGCCTTCACCTAGCAACACACCACACTACACCACCCACAGCGCAGGCAGTCACCACTCTACTGGAATAACAGGTTCTAATTTTCCCTGGGTTCACAATACAAACATGCAGATGGAAGCATTAGGGAGGGAAGGAAAGGAGTGGGGGAGGAAAGGAAGGAAGGAATTTTCCAATCTCAGGGAGCCCATCACCCAACCTCCTCCACCACCCATATCAGGCTGCAGAAAGGTCAACTTACAATCTAAATGTCTCGTTCCACTCAGGGTTGAGCGAGCACTTGATGGTTTTGGTCTTCTGCTTGCTCTCGCTTTTAGGGTCAGGAATAAGTTTCAGTTTTACGTAGGGATCTGACAAGCCATTGGGATCCATGGGTACAAGATTTTTAGCATCTCTTACTGAAAAAGGAAAAGAAGTTTCATAATCAATAGTGTTAAGATTAAGCAGCAACTAATGATGGCTGTAAAACTGCAGGGTGGTCCTTGCCACCATGCTTGTCTTACGGGAATTTAAATTTTATGAATACCTATAGCTAAGATGCACGCAAAGTGAGGTAAACCATCATCCTGTTCTATACTGGTGAAAAATCTTTCTCTGACTTTCAAACTGCCCCCTCCACCTCACTCCCAAGATTAACTGTATACCCACTAAGCTTGTTTTCAGCAACTCCAAAAGAAAGACTGGCTTCTGCCATTTAGCATCACATTCTCAAGGCTCCCCACCCTACAGCAACATGCATCAGTACTTTGCTAATTCGTATAGCTGAGTAACAGTCCACTGTGTACATATTTCATTGTGTACATTTTATTTATCCACTCAGTAGTTGCTTAGCAATTGAACTGTTTCCACTTTTAGGCTGTTTTGAATAGTGCCACGACAAACTTTCACATATACACATAAAAGATCCACTATTGCATGATTTCATTTAAATGAAATGTCCAGAATAGGTAAGTCCATAAAAACACGGTGTTGGTTGTTATTTAAAACACAGCACCACCACTCCTAAGAAATGTCATGTTCTGAAAGCTGGAATCAGACAAGCATGCCCATTTGCCACAGCCATTACTCAGCGTTTCTCCTAAGTGGTTGACAAACACAATCAGAGAGTATAAACAAGAGTCCATAAATCCAAGATGACTAGAAACCCCAGCTTAGAAGAAAGAACACTAGAACATCAGAAGCAAAACACCCTCTGTCTCACTTCCTACAACCCTTGGCCTGGACCCACTCACCATCACCTCCTCTCAAGGTCATACCCTGGAACTTACTAATCCAGAAACCACAACACTGTCACGTTAGAGGTTCCAGGTACCCTGTTGTCTTACATAACTTCCTAGTTTTTCTAGCTCTTCCACCACAACAACAGTTTTCCCATTGGATCCAATATATTCCATTTCCCCATTCCTTTCTCACCTCTTCTCTACTCACTCACAACTTGAATTTCATGACGTATTATGCTCATTCTCATGAAAACACTCTCAACTCCCTTGCCCTTAATTTCTAGTGTGTCTGACAAAACCTTAAGCCTAGTTGAATTCAAACATCTGTCCTTTATTTTCCTACCCAAGCAGCTGACCATGGTTGAACACAAAATAAGACTTAAATCAGCAAGTAAGCAATTGGGACTGACAAGATGAGAAGAAAAAAGAGTAGAGTGGGCTATCAGAATGCAAGGTGTAGCTTACACCACACCAACAGACAGAAGATAACAAAAAATATTGATTCTGTACCCAAGGAATATATAAAAACCCAATCTACTAAAAGTAAAGTTGATTTCTAAAGAGACCCAGAGAGGTCACACACTGCTCTGCAAAGCAGAGCTATAAGACAGGACAGGTCCTGTATGTTATCTAGCAGGAATTGAAAGCATTTGGACCTCATGTTTTTGATCAATAAAAAATGAGTTGACACAAGACACAGATATTTAGTAACTTGTACTAAACGCTAGCTATATTGTTGGCATTTTACTAAAAGTATTCATATTTGATGTCTTCCTGTGCTACAGTCTCCATTTTTGTTAGGAAGACTAACTCTTCTCTAAAGAACTAAGATCCAAGGAAACCTGGTTGCTTGCAGTTTTGCTCCTTAGGAACAATGCATCTGACCTTGCCGTTTGACCTTTTCTAGAACAGGGCTTCTTAGACCTTGGCACATATTAAGTGTCACCCAGAGGGCTTGTTCCTGGGACCCATGCCCTCCGACAGATTCCACTTTAACAAGTCTGGAGTGAGGTCTGGGCATTTGCTTTTCTAACAGCTTTTCATAAGTGACATGCAGGCTGCGGGTGCACGGAGCGCGCTTGAAGCAATGCTGATCTGCGGAAGATCATTTCTGAAGACACGCATTTCCCCCAACTGTTATTTTCTCTTATTTCTTGATCTTTCCAAGGAAAATACTACGTGCCCATTTCCAGCCTGGAATCTTGGAATGACACATCTATCACATAGTGAACTGTAGAAAAACACGATCTGAGAAAGCTTAGAGGTGCCAGCAACTTGTCTGTCTGCTTGATTGGCAGCACATGCGCAAACAGAAGCAGCTCTGCATTTCTTCCTTATGGCTGGGCTGCTCCCCATCCACCCTGCCTTATGAACTAACACCCCAAGGAGAATCACTTGGGGAACAATTTTCTCCTGTAAGTTTAGGACTTCACTGCTCTTTCAGTGTAATCTTTGCAAGGACAAAAGGCCTTGTTTATTTGCAGCAATCCCAAGACTTCATGGTTTCAGGATGGCCATTCTGTGGGCGTCCACTCCTATTTCCTGCCTCCAACCAACACTCCTCATCAAGATAGGATGACGCATCTTCCCTTAGCCAAGTGTTCTTTTCTGCTTGCTTCTGGTCTTTCGAGTTTATCCTCTAGATAACTAAAGGAATTGAAAATTTCCATAGAAAATAATAGAGTGGATTGATTCAAGAACTATTGGCATTCCCATTCCCAAGAGCTTTGGCTACTAAAAGCTCTGTATCATGAGCAGTTGACAATAGCCGCAGGCTAAGATCCAAAGCCTTGTCCCTCCTAAAGCTTTTCAAAGTCAATTCATGCTTCCCAGCAGCAGCAAGAGAGCCGCCTGTGCAGAGAGGCAACAAGCCTCTTTAGACCACACTTGGCAAGCCCAACTTTGATTTTTGTTGATAAATGTTTCTTTACTATCTTGGTTGAAATCCGGCCAGCCCAGATGGTACAAAATGCTTTGCCCAAAGTAAAAAAGATCAATCTTGCCCACCCCTGGTGGAGAGGAAGGCACTGTTTGTTTTGGATGTGGAGTTGGATGGAGGGAAGGTCTACAGCAAGTTCTCTACATCCCGGTGAAAGTCATCCAATAGTTCAGAAGCCACAAAACAGCAGCACTTAAGGGCAGGTGATGCGGCACAAGGGGCTAAGTGACCATCTGCAGCCCATAAGGGCACTGATACGTATCCCCAGCTGCTCCAATTCCAATCCAGCTCCCTGCTCCTGAGACTGGGAAAATAGGGAAGCGCAACTCAAGTGCTTGAGCACAATGTAATGCCTCTTTGTTTAAGAAAATGGTATGAGAACATCTATGTTTCCAATAATGAAATCTGGGTCTCGACTATTAGATAACACCATTAGCTCAATGTCCCGTTACCTCTTTTGGATAAATGCGCCGTGCTAATTGAGAAAATATCCTTGATCAGGGAGGAAGACACTGATGTATCTAGGTTTAATGGGAACCCCAATGCCCAACTTACTCTAAGACAATTCATAAAAATGACAAGCATACAGCAAAACGTTTGTGGGGAAATGGAATTAAAAGGTGAGTCTATGTGGATGCAAGTAGGTTTTGAAATCGATGCAAAGATTCTTCACAATATGCACTTTCTATGACCTTTTTTAAGATGGCTTTTAAACACATTTTTTTTTCCCAATTTGAGAGAGATAGAAAGACATGGAGTGTTGCCATCGGATGCATCAATCTCCAAACACCTGCAAGAGCTGGGACTGGGCTACATGGAAGCAAGGAGCCAGGAACTTAATCAAGTCCTCCCACGTGGGTGGAGACCCAAGTCATTGACCCACACCCTGTTGCCTTCCAGAATGTACAATAGCAGGAAGTTGGAATGGAGAGTAGAGCTAGGACTGAAGTCTGGGCACTCCAGTATGGGTTATGGAAGTGCCAACCAGTGTCTTAACTGTTGTGCCATATGCCTGCCCCATGGAGCTCAAAACTGTTTTCACATCAAAATGAGCATGTCTTATTTCATTTTCCACAAACTTTCTGAAGTCCCCTCCTACATGCACTTTCATAAAATTATTTCATACAGAGAAGAGCAAACCAAATAGGTGAGGAAGTAGAGCATATTCAGTAGCTTTGTGTACTATTCTTGCCACTTTCCCATAATTGAGACTACCCAAAATAACATCATTTAAAAAGGCCCCCAAAGCTTCAAAGCAAGGTTACTCTCGTTCATTTTCCCACATGGTCATGTATACACGTGAATGCACAGAAAAGATTCTGGAAGGATATACCCAAAGTTGATTTAAAATAATGGCAACGTTTGAAGGTAAGGGGGGAACCAGAAATCTCACTTGGGGGTTGTGAGCAAAAGGATTTTGGCTTTTTCTGCCACTTCCTAAATTTCTTACATAGAGAACACATTCTCATATCAGTTGTATTATGGAAACTTCACCTGCAAGTTTTGTTTTGTTTTTTGTTTTTTTTTTTTTTTTTTGCACATTGACAGCTGCCAGGAATCTATTGTCCTGTCCCTCCCCCACTCCTCCACCAAAATAAATAAATAAATAAATAAATAAATAAATAAATAAATAAATAAATAAATAAATAAATAAATAAAAGAAAGCTTTAGAGAGCCACCGGGTCCGCAGTGTGGTTGGAATCACAGAGCCCAGGGGCCCCAGAGGCCACTGCATACAGTCCCATGAGGACTTCACAGAGACTCACTGCATGCCCTCAGCACACACCTGGCACCCAAACAGGGCTGCAGAGAAATACTGAGTGGGCGGACACCTGCAGAGCCATCCCTGCAGCTCCACAGGCTTGCCCTGTTCTCTCCCTCTATTCCAGAGATCCACCAGTGGCCAGTGACGGCTTCCCTTGGCCTTGTGTGAAGCCCGTGCCCAGTCTCACATTCTTAATTTGGAAGCTGCTTTAGTCCTTTGCTTTCCAGTCTAAGTTTGTGCCCCTTGGAATCCCATTTATTATTGCTTCTTCTAACGCTTAGAGCCACTAGACCTAGGGCGTCCTGATACTACGGCTTGTGAGATCCTATAATCTGAGCATCCCCTTCCCAGTGCCGTTGATAGTCTGGTCTGCAAGGGTCCAATCACAGAGCAAGAGAACAAGGGGTCTCTGGACAGGGTTCATCCAGCATCCAAGTCACCCTGAGCACATCAGGGTCTCCCCAAAGGGCTCCT